AGCAGCAAAATCGCGTCTGCTGCTTCATTTCTGCTGTTTGTACCAGTTAGTTCTGACGTGCGGCTGAAGCAGCTTTGCTGCGCGGTCCAAAAGTGTGTCTGACGCGCGTTGGGCGGAGCTTCACTATCCTTTCCCTGCCTTGCAGCTATTTTTGCTGTGATCAGTGGGAATAAAGTAGTTTTAATGTTTTTAAGTGAGAAAATACACCTGAAAACTTAATCAGTGCAGTCAGTTCATCCAGATTACAATCCTGCCTCCCAATGTTATTTCTGTCGGAGCCGCTCAGACCCCCACATACCAGCGGTGCGCCGACAGTAGGAATCCCTTCAACAGCAGCCTCTGGCCGGATCGCGTCCTCGAGGTTCACCGCGGCAGCTTTCCATCTAAATAATCCGATCTGCAGGCACCAGAATAATAAAAGCGAACATATTCTGCCGGCAAATTTTTTAATTTTAAGTTAATTTATGGGTCAGTAAACTGTTTCAGATGAGTGATCATAGTGCTCTGTGTCTCTGTGTCTCTCTCCCTGCAGCTCCTAGATCAGCTCCTCTGATTGGTTGACGCGGCACGTCGAGCAGCAAAAATTAAATTTTTCCATCTCGAGCAGCAGCGCGTTTGCGGGGCGTCACGCGCGTCAGATGCTTAAACGCGCCCGGTTCGCTGCTTCAGCTGCTCAGACGCGCTGCGCCTGCTGCTCAAAACGCGCCGCGGGACCTTTTGCTGCGCCTGGAGGCGCGTCAACCATTGACTTTGCATGTAAACTCGCTGTTTCTGTCGCGCCAGCTGCGTCCGGTGTGAACGCAGCATTACCCCTTCAGGGGTTTGCACTCTGTAAGTGGGGGAAGGGGAGGGAGGGGGAGTAGGAATGATCTCGGCCTGGATGTCTTTTGTCGCTTGTGTGGTGAGTAGTTTGAATGTTATTGTAGGGGAGGGATTAGATCTCCGGAGGGGGGATGGGGGGTGGTGATAGAGGGAAGAGGATTTCAGAAGGGCTTCGGGTCTGGCTCCCTGTCTCGGTCCTGGACCGTGCTGTCCCCTGGTGGGTCCGGGATGGGGGCTCTGCGTGTTGCGCATGGGCTGGCCGGCCGGGGTTGTCCCCCCCTTATTTATTTATTTATTTAATTTATTTATTTTTTGTATTATTATCATTCTTTTTTATTTATTTTTTGTATTTATTTATTCATTTATTTATTGATTTTTTATTTTATTTTTTTTTGTGAATGGACAGGATGGGGGGAGGGTGGTGGTGTCGGCCCTGTGCCCGGCTGGCTGGTGGATCCTGCTGCTGATCCCTGGCCCCCGGGCTATGGTGGTGAGACTGGTGGGGCCCCCCTCTACGGAGGGGCTCTCAGAGAACGGGGGTGCCTATTGGAGTCAGCGGGTCCTTTGCTCCCCATCCCTGAAATCCTCCCTCTGCCTGCTCCTTCACACTGCCACACATGTAGGTTTTCTGACGATGTCCATTTTATTTTGCATTTTAGACACTTCCATCTACATCATCATTTTCACAACACACATCTATGTAGGGTATTTTCTGGGGGGTGGGCTTCAAGGCCACCTGGGGGGGGCTTATTTTACGGGCCTCACCACGGTCAGCCTCCTCAATCCCCTCTCGCATCTAGACATTGAGGGTTCAGGGTTTTTCGAAGGGGGGTGCGCTGGCACCGTCTATCTCCTGGAGGGGGGATGGACTGTGCCGAACACCCCCTCTTTGTACTCCCAGTTTTAATTACATCTGAGAGCAACACGCATCAACACCACATCTGAGCGGGCGCAGGGAGGATCGGGGTCTTCTCACACCCCTGTTCTCCTGCTGCCTCCCGGAGTCTGGGGCCAGGAGGAAGAGTGAGCCACCTGGTCCGTGGTTTTTGCTGGGGCCGGCTGCGGGGCCTAGGTGGCGGGCTTGTGGCGGGGCTGTCACCTCTGCTCTCCCCAAAGAAGGTTGGAAGGAGGGGCATGAAGTGCCTGGTTGAAGTAGGTTGGGGGGGCGGTTCTGGTTGGGTGGCCTGCGCGGGATGGGTGGGCCCTGGTCCCGTGGGGGGCTTTTGCTGGGGGTGGTCCGGTCCATGTGCAGGGTGGGTGGCCGGGCTCGAAGCAGGAATGAGATGGGTAGGTGTGGCGGTGTCGCCGCTGCCCTCCGCCCCATCCGGATTTTAGGTTCACTTATTGGGTCATCCAATAGTCCCGGGACCAACCACCGGTGCCGCCGGGTCTTTGGTCCTGGTATTATTGGATGTGAGTGTTATGTGTGAATGTGTGTCCGCGTTTTTATTTTATTTATTTATTTTTATTATTTGTTAACTTTTTTTTTTTTTTCCTGTGGTGCGAGTGGGGGCAATAGGTAGGGAAGGCATAATTGAGATCGGAGTGTGTTTTTTTTTTTTTTTTTTCTCTCCCAGGTTGGGGTCTCAACTGCAACCTCTCACAAATACATCTCAAGTCTCCGCTAACTGCGGCGCGCGTCGGGGGGCCAGGGCGGCGGCTGCGGTCTGCTCCTCTGGCGGTCGGGCGGCTTTTCTGCTCTTGGGTCAGTTCTGTGCGCGGTGTTTTGTGTTGCGCGCTGTTGGCGTCTCTCTTGGCCTCTGGCCTGGGGGGCGTTTTGGGCGTGTTCCGCGGCACTCGCGGCCGGTTCGCGGCGGATGCGCGTGGGCCCCGGCTGTGGGCGCGGCTGCCTGTGTGTTTTTCGAGGGTGGTGCGGTCGCGTTTGGGTGTTGCGGCCGGTCGCCGGGGCTTGGTGCCAGGGGACGGGGCATGTTTTGGCGCTCTGTGGGGCCGGGCGTTTCGGTCGGTGCCGTGGGGGGGGCGCCTCCGCGGCTCCCCGGGGCGCCGGCATGGCGGTGGCTGGGGGTCTTCTTGGGGGCTGTCTCTCCTCCTCCCTTGGTGGGGGTCTGATGGGGGTCTGATTTCCGGGGCTGGCCCCTCCTTGATGCCTTCGCTCTTGGGGTCCCTTTGGGCGCCTGGGACTTTGGGTGTCCCAGCGCTGGACTCAGTGCTCTGGGGGGTGTGCCTCTCCAGCTCTCCATAAGCACTATTGAGCATTTTTTCTATGGATAAACTTTACATGCACAAGTGCTCCCTCACAAAGAATAACAGGTGCTTGGCTCCAGGTACTTAGAGATTCACTTCCAAACAGAAACCCCACATTCATATCTTCAGGTAACACAGAGTACATGTCAGACTTAATAATATTACTTTAGCGATAGTTTCAAGGTGTTGATTTAGTGTATGTCTCGTACCATGTCTTTCGGTTGTGCTGTTCTTTTTTCATCTCGTTACAGGTGATGAAGCAGACTGAAAATGTTTTTTCATTGTCTCCTTTCTCTTCTTTCTTTCATCTTTTCTCTTTCTTTTTTCCTTTTCTTCTTCTGTATTTCTGCTCTATTTACATTGCAGTGTCCATATAAACTGTAAAACTCCCTGCATAATTATAATAAAGCAATTTGTATGCATGAAACAAGTGGAGATGTATGGCAATTGCCATACTGCTACACTCTGTTGGGCTATTTTTGGCATCAAGACAATTATTCGTATTGCCACATTGCCAGACAGGACACTGTTAAAAAAAAAAAAGGGCACTTTTTAAACACCACAATGTATTAAATAAATACAAATGCTGGGAACCAATTCTTTTTACATCTCTTTAATATTTTGTTCTATTTAGCTACACAAGCATCATCTTTAAACTACTAAGAATTGTACTATAAATGTGACTTTACCCAATTCTTATGTACACTTTAGTAATTTATTGATATGCTGCACAATGTCCTCCTTTTTGGTGCTATAGAAATGGCCACCCTAGTTGGAAGACACGCCAGCAGCACTTTATAGGTCTGCTGTATGGGACCACTTTGCATTTAGAGTGACCTACGATGACGACGGAAAGAACGTTGTGGATAAAAACAGTGTGCAAGCATTGTGCAACACGCGTTGTACAAGACATAATAGATTTTCCTAACAATCAACATATACCGAACCGAACCGAAAACCGTGACCGTGAACCGAACCATGGATTTTGTGAACCGTTCCACCCCTAATATATATATATATATATATATATATATATATATATTACTCTTATTAAAGAGCCATTAAAATTATTTCTAAGAGCATTAAAAAGCATTAAATTAGAGTTAGTCATTCCTTTATAAACCCTATGAGTGATATGGCTGAGTTAACTTGCTCTTCTGTGATGGGTAACCCAGAAAAGAGTTCCCAAATGAGTAAAACCTTGCCTTTTTGAACCTGTTCAGAAATGCAGAACCCATTTCTTGGACAATGTGATACTGCATTTCCATGTAAGGGACTAAAGGTGAGCACCTCATCATCCAGGCATTGCGGGACATCCTGCCACCAGTATGGTCTCAACATCATCAACAAAATAATTCTTCCAGCTTTGTGATCCTTTTTTTAACTGTACTTAGTTCCTTCTATGGTTCAAATAATTTGTACATTATTAAAAAAAAAACATAACACTCTTTCCCTGCTGATTTCCACATTTCAGCAAAGAATTAGGAAGCTGCTCCTGATAGCCTTATCATTTAGGCCTGTTTTTCTCGTACCATAATGCTTCTTTTTAATACGATAGAACAGAGAAATTTTCTCAGAAAACCATTTAAAATCTGCTCCGGCTCTGGCACATTGATCTGGGGTATGTCTCCTCCAGGCAGAGGTACAGGAAGAGGCTAGAGGCTGTCTCATTACTTCCTCATTTGCCAGACAGTCACTGTGGTGTTGGATGTAAAAGCTTTACTGTCTTTAATAATTCTTTGTGGGGAACCAAATTTAGGCCAGAATGAACATATCTTCAGGTTGCTTTACAGGATCCACTCACTCCTCAAACTCAAGGAGAGAGTTTGGTGCTTGTATGTGAGTTGTCCTTTCTATAACCACCAATAGAAAGTCTTTCTGCTGTTTTTGTCTTTCCAGATCACCATCAGGATTATGTTGGAAAAGAGGAGGATTTCTCTGACCAGCAGCTCTATGAACAGGAGAGGGATTCCAGTTTGGACCAAGAGGAACCAGAACATTTGCAGATAAAAGAAGAGCAGCAAGAACCAGAACATCCCTGGACAAAAGAGGAAACCATGGAGCTCCCCATTAGTGAGCAGGAAGAGCAGCTTGTTCTGAAGAAGGAGGAAACTTTCCCATGCTTGACCTGTGGAGAAAACTTTCTTATAAAAGCACAATTAATGGATCACATGAGAACCCACACAGGTAAGAAGATTTATGAATGTTGGTCCTGTGTAACAATGTTAGCAAAGAAATCTAAATTTGATCAGCACATCAGATTTTAAAGCCACCTACAAACCTCTTCAAAGCATTCCTGCATTATCCTTTGTCAGCATCATTTTCTCCGTCTTTCATCTTAATTAAAAAAAGATTGTCTGCATGACCTCCTTCACTAAGAAGTGGTCAATTCATGACACCTGATCACCAATCTCTTCATCTCGTAACACTGGTTCAGCAAAAAGCTAAAGGGCTATTCCATCTTTTATTTTTTTTTTAAAGCCTTAAGTGTCTGCTCTTCTTTAAAAACTAAAGCAATCAGACACTTCAAACCTGGTTTATATTATTCCAGGTTTACAAGTCGCATATATTTCCAAATATATGCGACTTGTATGTGATCTCCTGTGTGAACCGCAGTCATACATCACAAGTGTCCCGCATGCGCAGTGGTGGACGCGATGACGTCACAGGCCAGCATGCTCTTTTTTTTCCGGAAGTAAACATGAATGGTAGTGCCGGAAACCATCTAACGATCTTTTCCAACCATAAAAACTCAATCTTTTCAATATGGTTAAACATAAATACTGCTCTCCGCATCATTCATCTACCATGGTTGTTGTTTTTCTTGCCGCTTCTTCATAACAATACGCATAATAGTGACCGGGTGTTAATGACGTTCAGGTCGGATAAATCTGACCTGGCGGTTCACACACAGCTCGCATTTGAAGAGATCAGATTCGTATCGGATTCAGGACCACATAGCCAAATGGCCTGGGTCGGATTTGAAAAAAATCAGATCTGTGTTGTTCAGACAGCCATGAAAAGATCAGATCCAGGTCGCATATGGGCAAAAAAAAAGATTTGGGTCACTTCAGGCTGCAGTGTGAACAAAGCCTAAGGTAGCTTTTCCTTAAGATGTTTTGCATTAACCTTATGGTGTCTTAAGAAGCAGTGCATAATATATTTTTACCATCCTTTTAAATCTTTCTATACTTACTAATTTTCTCTAAGGGCTTGGAGTCTGAGAAGGTTATCCTCCTTATCTAGGACAGAATCCTAGATAAGGAGGTGGATCAGACCCGAATGGGATGGAACTGGCTTTTTGGAGTGCACCTCCCCTTTCTTTTGACCTTCTGTGATAAATATTTGTGAATACCCTTGTTTTGGAGTTATCTGTAGGGTCACAGTGGAGCTGGTGCCTTTCTCCAGCAGTCTCTGGGCAACAGATGCGGTAAAAGCTGGACAGTTGAGCAAAAACAAAAAAATAATTTAAACATTTTCTTAATGGTAAATAATCTGCAGGTAATACAATTTTGAAGCTTTGATGTTAAAAGTGGAGGTCTATTGTGTCTTAAGAAGCAGTGCATTATGTATTTTTACCATCCTTTTAAATCTTTCTCTACTTATTTTGTCTAAGGGGTTGGAGTCTGAGAAGGTTCACAACCTAGCTCTGTACTGAGGTCAACAAAAGGATGATTTAAATGAATTGTCCTTTCCTAAGCCCACAATAGAAAGTCTTCTTTCGTGTTTTTCTTTCCAGACCACCTGCAGGATTATGTTGGAAAAGAGGAGGATTTCTCTGACCAGCAGCTCTGTGGACAGGAGGGGAATTCCAATTTGGACCAAGAGGAAGCAGAACCTGTGCAGATAAAAGAAGAGCAGCAAGAACCAGAACATCCCTGGACAAAAGAGGAAACCATGGAGCTCCCCATAAGTGAGCAGGAAGAGCAACATGTTCTGAAGAAGGAGCCGGAAGATACAGAACAGAAATATTTCCCATGTGCCAAAAAAGAACATTTAATGGTTCATATGAGGTCTCACACAGGTCAGAAGATTTATGAATGTCTGTGTTGTGGAAAAAGCCTCACTAAGAAATGTCATCTTGATTCACACATCAGAATTCACACAGGGGAGAAGCCTTTTTCCTGTACAATTTGTAGTAAAAGTTTTACACTAAAAAGTCATTTGACTTCTCACATGAGAATTCACACAGGCGAGAAGCCTTTTGAATGTCTGTCCTGTGGAAAAAGGTTCAACTCTAAGTCTGATCTCAAATATCACATCCTGATTCATACAGATGAGAAGCCTTTTTTATGCAGGATTTGTGGTAAAAGTTTTATTAGAAAGGGTAATTTGACTAAACACACGAGAATTCATACAGGTGAGAAACCTTTTGAATGTCTGTCTTGTGGAAAAAGCTTCACTCAGAAATCTGATCTTGAAAGACACATCAAAATTCACACAGGTGAGAAGACTTTTTCCTGTACCATTTGTAAGAAGAACTTTACTGTAAAAAGTAGTTTAACTACTCACATGAGAATTCACACAGGTGAGAAGCCTTTTGAATGTTCGTCCTGTGGAAAAAGCTTCACTCAAAAATGTGATCTTGAAAGACACATCAGAATTCACACAAGTGAGAAACCTTTTTCCTGTACAATTTGTAACAAGAATTTTATTGACCTGGGTAATTTGACTTCTCACATGAGAATTCACACAGGTGAGAAGCCTTTTGAATGTCTATTCTGTGGAAAAAGCTTCACTCAGAAATCTCATCTTAATACACACATCAGAATTCACACAGGGGAGAAACCTTTTTCCTGCACGATTTGTGGCAAAAGTTTTACTAAAAAAAGTCATTTGACTAGACACATGGGAATTCACACAGGTGAGAAACCATACTCCTGAATGATTTGTGACAGAGGTTTTAATCGAGAAGGTAATTTGAATTTTCAGATTACATTTATTTATTGATAATGTGGAATGATTCATATTTTTAAATAAACAATTGTTTTACATAAGTCACAGCAGTTAGACGCAGTTAGAAATTTTTTTAAGGTGGTAATAAAAGACCATATAGGGCTCGGGATCTAAGTTGCATTGTGGGATGGGGCGGCCATGTTGAATGCTATGCTCTGATAGCATAGCTCCGATAGCTTAGCTCTTATACCGGAGCTCCGGTAGCATCGCTCCGAAAGCACAGCTCCGACACAACGTTGTGAGAGAAAAAAAAGATGTTAAAATCCCGAAAAGGATCTGGAAATTACCAGGACACGTTAAATAAAGAAGCCAGGGACCGGTATGTTGAAAAAAAATCAGCATTATTAATGATGTGGATCCATATGAAGTTCCTAACAATGAGTGGAGCACCGATGAGTGAGCGTCTATACTTCAAAACAGTTCCGAAGCTACAAGTCCTTGGAGTCTCATATGCAGTTCATGAATGGATGGGTTCAGGAGCTGCAGATCATAAAGCCAGCTAACAGTGGGAACACAGTAATCTGTACGAAGGTAAGCTGTGCTCAGACGGGCTCTGGAACCTGCTAGTTTAGTAATTGCTAACCGCTAGTGCTAACAACCACTCATGCATGTAATGTACTTTTAACTAGCTGCTATGTGTTTCAAAGGTGTAGTTAGTAACGTTAACTGCCAACCCTCCCTAAACTAGGGTGACCAAACGTCCGTATTTCCCGGGACATATCCGTATTTCACGTCCTGTCCCGGGCGTCCCGGGTTTTTTTTAGAAAGTGAGGAAATGTCCTGATTTTTTAAATTATCTTAAATGGACCATTAAATTTACAGGCACTGGGGCACTGCGCACGATGCTGCGCGTGACGTAATCCCTGAGCCACCTCAGTGCGGACAGCCCTGTTCCTAATCAGAGGCTCTGTTCGAAAACCTGGGCTGCATCCTCCAAGGACGCAGTCTACCCTAAGGATCTTTCAAAGTCCTTGAAAATAAGGAGACCTGAAGAGTTTTGGCTGTAAATTCGAACAGGTCTATCCTTCAGCGAGTTTTACCGCCGTAAGCTCTGTTGCTTAGCAACAGTGAAAGTTGATACACAAAGCAGGAAAAGAATGAATAACGAGGATTTCAAAACTGTTTGTTTATTTATTTATTTTAAAAAAAGTTAAAGTGAACAAAGACTAAACTCACAAGAATCCAGAGTGGAATAAATGTTCCAACCACCGGGAGCAGGAACAAATCAAATCAAATGTAATGATAGAAACCTTAGTCAGTTAAATAACCTGCTGCTGTCATTCTGCACATCTCTGATGTTGCTGCTATTTTCAAATATCCATCACTGTAAAAATGTCCATAGCTGCATATTGATTATTTATTCTCCAGTTTTATATTGTTAAAATACTTTACAGTATTTTATTGTTTATATTTTAACTCTTCCCTATTATGTTATTCTTAGACATTATTCTAAGGTCCTCATTTGTGTGACTGTTTTCAATAATCTTTCTGCTGCTGTAAATTTGCCAATTGTGGGACAATAAAGAGATTTTCTATTCTATAAAAGGGTTAGAAATATATAAGTAAATCTAAACAATGTATGTACAAAATATATCTGCAAAATCTCTAATATTCAACAACAACAAAAACTTAATTAAGCATATTGTGCAAAACGGCAATAAAAAATTAAACTCCTATCAGATTTATAGTCCCCACACTGCAGATATATTAGAATCTGTCCTTAAATTCCAGCCAAACCCATTTACATTGAAACAGATTAAAACCTTTAGATAAATCAAACATTACCGCCACATATCTGACTCTATAACCATTAAAACAACTATTTTCATTCATTTCAGACAGAACTATTCACAGACTGGATTATATTAAACTGAACTTCCAATTTTCACCACTGTTCAGCGCCGAGTAACCTTTCCTCTGATCACGGAGCAAATCCTGATGATGAGACATTATTTCTTTCATTGTGCTATTTATTCATTACAGGAATTGTTAAGCATTTTTAATAAATACATCTTGAATAAAATTATCGTTTGTTATTGAAGTTATTGCTGTTGACTTTTACTGAAAAGCATTTTTAATAAATCAACTGTAAATATAATGTTATTGTAGGATTACGTAAGCCTATGTTAAGTGAGTGCATGCCACAGACATCTCTATCCATGGGAACAGAGATTAACCCCCCCACCCACGCTCCAAGGTGTCCTGGTTTTCCCAAATGAAAATATGGTCACCCTACCTAAACCCTCCGGGTTTCTCACATATTTGAGCCTTTTCCCGCTGCCATTTCTATTATTTTCCCATAAAAGATCCCAATTTTGAAGGAAAGAAACAAAGTAGGTTATAAAATAAAACCATGCATCTTTAACTTACCAGAATGAAAATGCAGGGAACACACTCTCATTGACATCGGGATACTGTGGAAAGTTATGTTGGTCGCTAGCCGACGACTATTTATCTCTGACACTTGGTCTCCATGGTTGCGCCTCCAGGCAGGAAAGCGGTGGAAAGTTAACCCATTTTCTATGTTTTTCCCATGGGGATCATGTGCTGTTACAGCCCATAATACAGCAACGGTTTACAATGGTTGAAATCAAGTTAAGGTGAAATTAATCAAATTAAAACACGGCTGAGAGGGAGTAAAGTATGCGGTAGTCATAGGCAGTAGTCTGAGCAGCGGTAAAAGAGGCACTCAAGATGGCGGCGACGCAAAGTGCTTACATGTACGTCATGACGACCAAGCCCTATAGAAACTCCTTCACCCCCTTCCTATATTCTTTTTAGCAAAGTTTTGACAAGGCCATTAATTAACTGCTCTTTTAACATAGAAACAAGAACAGATTGTTATACTACATGTAACAAGTTGTTATATTGTAAACCTGGTAAATATTCAGGTCCTGGGGGAATATGTTGATGTGAAAATTTGAAAGTGAATTATTTTAGGCCTGAGTGAATTAGATTTAAATGGCCAAAAAAAGAGCATAGCCCTAACAAAAAAATAGATGTTTACACTCACAATTTCTAACAATTTCTGTAATGAAGGTAATAAACATAATAAAGTGCAACGACAACATCTTGGTTACAGATGAAGCTAGTTTGTTGTCCATACAACAAGCAATTAAGAAGTTATAGACGTTTAAATAGAAAGAAAATCCAGATGCACCCCTACTGTGCCATTTCGGTATGGTGTGGCTCAACTTTTTCTGAAGGAATTAATTCAGAGCAAAAAAAGTCACAAATTTTGTTTTTGAGACTTAAGAAACTTTTAGATGAATGATAACCTACCGGTTGGATATTTTCCAGAAACAGACCTTTATTCAGATAAACATCCTCAGATGGAAATAAAAAGAAAGGTAGGGCAGATTTAATGTGCTTTGCTCAGTTTTGCTCTTTTTTTTTTAGGTCAGATGCAAATGATCAGAGTTTAGCTAATTCAGTGTCTTGTTGGCTTTCATTAGCAATGCATCAATCAGCCCTGCTACGTGTGCTGTTGAAACCAGGCCCACCAAAACTCCAACTGTTTTTGGCCCAGTGTTAGAGCTATGGTCAATGGATATTAGAATGAAGTAGATCATCTATAGAGGAGTCTCAGATGATGATTTGGGACATATATATATCTCAGAGTTAGTCAGCTACAAGCTAATTAGTGTTGCAAAGTAGCTCCAGCCACCCTGAAAGGGGGTGCTGGGATTATGGGGTTAAACTACGGGACATCAAAGAACTCAGTTTAGAGGCTGGAGTCTGTAGTTCAGGTAAATTAAAGTCCTAAAATTATTAAACATGTTTGTTTAAAAAGATAAATAAGATTATTAATGATGCTGTTATTTTTCACTGATCAGTTTTTACCTGCTTTAACTTGGTAAAAAGCCTTTGTCTTAATAATGTATTAAAGAGGTCATAGAATGAGCCCTAATGCAAGCCTGTTTAAAGCCCTAGAATGAAACGACAGGTTTTCTTCCTTTTATGGTATGCTCATGAATATTTAGATGAGCTGTGTGCTGATTGGTTGGTTTACAACAAGCAAAGGTGCCCAGCAAAGACTCATCATAGCAACAAGCACTCACTCACTGAAACATCAAATTGTTGATATGGTAGGTTGACCAGACGTCCTCTTTTTCCTGGACACGTCCTACTTTTTATACCTAAAAAAAGGCCCAGGGGGAATTTCAAAATCGGCCAGGATTTTGGTCAACTTCGGTCTAGCATGTAGTCAAAACACATTGGGCATTTGAACTGAGCTGTGAGCTCCGGGGCTTCGGTCGCTCCATCCCCCCCTGGCTCCCTGTCCTCGTTCGCTGGGGTTCCCGGAGCAGCCCCGGAGCTGATGGCTCAGTTCAAATGCCCAGTGCGGTCCAGTCAGCGGCAGCCTCTATTCATGTTCTTTGGCCGTGAATCAGTGGGCTGGTCTGTATGTCAATTTCGGGGCGTAACAAAAGTACGGGCCAGAACCAAATAATGCAACATCCACGAATTGACGTCATTTCAGTGTTTGTTTAGATTCGCCCGTTCTATGGTGGAAGTTTAGAATTGTTAGATCTGCAGAGAAAGGAGGTGTTGATGGGGTTTGAACTTCTCTGTACGTCCATTTCCCCCACTGAACTATTATTATTCATCTGACAATGGAAACTCAGTTTTGCATTCAATGACCCCTTTAGAAAAATCTTTTAAAAGCAGAAACTTCACACTTCTACAGGATTGTCAGATTTATTTAAAGTATAATTTTTCTTTGAACTTATTCTAATAGTGTTGATTTTGATTCTGTAGATGTTCTATTGACCTGTCATGATTGAAAGTAACTTTCCTATTTAATAGAACTGATTTTATGTATTATATTCTGCTGTGGATGTTTTAAATTGTTGTAATCACTTCAAGATTGATGAAACAGCAACAATAAAGACCTCATGGATTGTAAAATGTTCTTTATATGGTTTCATATAAATTACAAACAATCCTTTTCCATGTTTTCTGATATTTTCAGACAAATTAAAGCTCTAAAATAAATAGTTTAATGGCATTCACCTTCTGTCTTTTCCAGTCTTTTCTGTTGTTCTTCTGTCAGCATGAATCTTTTTTGTCTTTAAGAGTCTTAGTGTGTTCAAATCTGATCATTGGATAAACCCTCCTTTGTTTGTTAAATCCTCAAAGCTGCTTAAACACATCAGAGCTCCAACTACAGATTACTCTGGTGTGAGCCAACAGAACTGATAAAAACTCCTGGATAGGTGTAGAAACAGTGCCATAGAAACTGAGCCACAGTCCGGTTTCCTTCCTACCAGAGGGTTGCAAATCTTCCGCTGCATGTTTAAAAAGCGGGCTGCATGGTGATGTGATTTGTTGTGCAGTTGCTTTGCAGCTAGAAGCTT